ATTTCTCAGTGAAAACATTCAAGAGACTACGCTTTGTGCTGGAGCCATGTGAGCCCAGACTGCGGTGGGCAGCATGTGGGAGCCAGAGGCACACACACATCGCTGACTTCACAGGTGGCCCTTGGAGAGCCCTTAGAACCCAGCATTTTCCTGCCCTTCCTGGCTCCGCCAACCCTCAACTGGGGCCTGGCTTCTCTCCACCTCCTCATTGCTCCTGAACACAATCTTGATCGGCATCGATCCAACCATCCCTTTCTGGAATCTTCTCTTCGTGCCAACTGCAAAACTCTGTACCTCTCTAGCACCCTTTGTCCCTGCTGGGACCCTTGTTCTCGCAATCCCAGTCAGGCCTCTCATTTACTGAGCATCTGTATTAACCAGGAGGTTATCGTATGTAACTTCTTTCCATGCTCACAAAATTCTGAGAGTGCAGAGGCTCCATCGGGTAGGTGGAGACTGGGGTCCAGGCGGAGGAGTCTCGTTCCAGTTGGGCTGAGGTTTGAGCCTGGGCGGGGGTGACTCCAGAGCCTGGGCTTGCCCCAGTGCAGTTCCATCCTCCCTCGCCCTTCCTCAAGCCTGCCATTCACCACCTGGCACTAGGTGCTCAAGGCCCTGTCTTTCCCGGCTCTGCGCAGCAGAGGACAGCTTGTCTCCCAACTGTCATCCCTAATCCAGGGGCAGCAGCTAAGCAGAGCTTCTCGCTCCCCGTGGGGGTTTTAAGTCGGCATTTGCCCTCCTCACAGGTTTCCTTTCTCCATGTTTTGTGCTTTCTGTTTAAGCTCACCCTTTCCTGGTCCTGACAGCTATCATCTAATCACCCCTGGATGCGCTGCTTCCCGGAAGAGTTCAGCACCAGGTTCATAGTCCCTGGGGTCTCAGCTCCACATCGACCCTTCCAGGTCTTCTCAGTTCCTTCACTTTCCTCAAATGGCTCCTTGCCATCCTGACTAGCTCCCCTGAGTTTCTCTGACTGTCAGTCTCTCTTGCCTCCCTCAGATCCCCAAGCTGCCCTCTCTGTGGTATCTGTCCCTTCTGGGCTGGCGGGTGATAAGGTTTGTTTGATAATTGAGCCTTTATAGTGACACTGCCTGCGTTCAAGTCCCAAGTCTTCCAAGCCTCAGTTTCCTCATCTTGTAAACAGGTATGATGATATGGAGACCCACCTCCTGGGGTAGGTGGTGCACGTCCATGGCTTGGCACAGTAATGCAGGCCTGGCACAGGAGCACCTGGTGTGAGTCAGCCATCCCCGTCCCCTGGGCTGGGCCCTGGGCTTGGTGATTCTGGGCACTGTGAGAAGCACTGTTGGTCCTCCCGTCCATGGCTGTGCTCTGGCCCCAATGCTGATCCCTATGCTTCACTGCAGGCAGCCTCCACCTCTTCCAAGCTCCCCTGGTCATGGCTAGAGAAAGTCCTAACACTGGATGCATCAATTGCACTACAGATCCACGCCCCTCTGTCTCAGCTCAGTCTTTCCCGGCTCAGCAATCTTTCGAATCATCTGTTAGTGGCCTCACGCCTCCAGTATCCCGATCTTCTCAGAGCCCTACTCTGCAGAAAGTTTCTCATGGGTTTGCTGAGAAGGCTGACTGTGTATCTGCAGTGGGCACTCTCTGCTGTGCTCTTCCCAACCTCAGTGTGACTTTCCCATGTCCACACTGGCTTCTGTCCCTCTCACCTCCCCTCAAGGGTGACCTTCCTGCTCTGGCTTACGAACTCACCCTCCCTGCTGCCCCAGAACCTCTGGTGTCAATGAACATCGTGCAGCTGTTCCTTTCTCATGCCTTCAATCACTCTGGGGCCTTTCCCCACAAGCACGTTCAAGCCTGCCTTTAGCTCTGGCTAAAAACAACCTTTCTTCTTCAAACCTACCTTCCCCTCCCAGTGAGGGTCTTACCTAAGCTTCCTGTTCTAGGAAAACGTTTCCATTGCTAATTTTGTACAATCTGGCTTCCATCTCTCCACTTACCAGAGGCCCCTGCTTTAGGGCCTCAGGCTGACAGAATCCAGGCACCTGCCTGCCACTCCCTGTGTCCCACCTGCCAGAGTTCCCTGGCACTCATGACCTTGCGTGTGTCGGGGTGCCTCTCCAACCCTCCCGCACCCGGCACCTCTGCACTCACACCTTTGGCCTCTCTGTCACTGACTCCTAGCCTCTATCAGCAGCTCCATGCAGATGGATCCCAGATGGCTCTCCAGCCCTGGCATCCCTCCAAGCTTCGTCTCACCTTGTCAAAGCCCTGCACAATAGCTCTGCTTGGAGGTCATGTGGGCACACTGGATTCTGCCTGCAGTAGTGTCTTGATTCCCACAGTAATTTCTCCTCCATTCATGCTGGCTTTTCTTAACACCTTCCCCAACCTCCTGGCCATCCAGCCTTGAAATTGAAGCATGCTCCTGCCGTCCTTGGCCCCCCTGCACTTAACATCAAAGCACCGTCTGTTTTCTGTCATTTAGTCCCAAGACCATGGTGGGGTGAGGCGTGATGTGCTGTGGGATCAGACTGACCTGGATTCAAGCCTCAGCTCTGCCATTTGCTAACAGTGACTTTTAAAGGAAACATCTTTATTGAGATACATTTCCCATACCACACAATTCGTCTAAAGTATACCAGTCAATGGCTTTTAAAAAGCATGTTCGTGGATATGTGCAAGCACTCACATGGTTGATTTTAGAATCTTTCATCACCTCCGTAAGAGACTCTGTGCCCTCTGGCCATCGCCTTCTACCCCCTGCCCCCCGCCAGCCCTGAGCGAGCAGTGTCTCTCTAGATGTCTCTGTTCTGGACATCTCCTATGAATGACATCACACACGTGATCTTTGGTGACTGGCTTCTTTCACTTGGCATGATGTTTTCAAAGTTCATCCATGTTGTAGCGTGTATCATCCTTCATTCCTTTTTATGGCTGAATAGTACTCCACTGTGTGGCTACACATTTTGTTCATCCGTTCTTCAGTGGACGGACTTTTGTGTAGTTTCCTCCTTTTGGCTAATATGAATAGTGCCGCTGTATCATTTGTTTACAAGTTTTTGCATGGACATATTTCACTTTTCTCGGGCATATATACCTAGGTGTGGATTGCTGGGTCATATGATAACCCTATGTTTAATTGTTTGAGGAACACCCAACTGTTTTCCCAAGCAGCTGCACCACTGTACACTCCCAGCAGCACTGTACGAGTTCCAGTTTCTCCGCATCCCTGTCAGCACCCTCGTGTCACTGACTTTGTGGTTCTAGCCATCTTGGTGAAGTGGTATTTCACCGTGGCTTTGACCTGCAGCTCCCTGGTGACTAGAGACGTTCAGCCTCTTTTGTTGTGGTTACTGGCCATCTATCTTTCTTGCTAAAAGTGGCTTTGCACTGGACCCTGAATTTCAGTCGTTCTTCCTGTAAAGTGGTACAGCCACCATCCATGGAGCACAGTGGCAACACCGTGGCTCTCTGGGCCGAGGACACATGTGACTGCTAGTGGCCCCTCAGCCGGTGGACCCAGGGCAGACAGCCTCCGCAGCCGGGGACCCAGCGCCTTCGGGTCTCTGCTTGCAGTCTTTTCTCTGTACTTGCTGCAGCCAGGCTTGGGCTGCTGTGTGGCCAGAGATGCTGAGTCCTGAAATCTGCAGCAGGTGAAGGATCCTCCCAGCAAAGTTTCTGCAGAAAAGCAATGCACTCAATGAACTGTTGTTCAAATGGTGTGAGCTGGGAGTGAGGTTTCTGGCTTTTTGTCACATGGTTGATGTTCTTGGGTGGTGTGAGCTGGGAGTGAGGTTTCTGGCTTTTTGGCACATGGTGGATGTTCTTGGGTGAACAATGTTCCCCCGAAAGATATGCTGAAGTCCTAAATCCCAGTGCCTGTGAATATGATCTTATTTGGAAACAGAGTCTCTGCAGAGGTAGCTGTGAAGACAAGTCATATTGGAATAGGTGGACGCTCATCTAATGGCTGGTGTCCTCAGAAAACGAGGGAGAGTCAGACACAGATGCACAGACAGGGATGGCCACGTGACAGCAGAGTCAGAGACCAGAGTGAGGCTGCCCACAGGCCAAGGAAAGCCAAGGATGGCCACAGCCGCTAGGAGCTGGAAGAGGCCAGGAAGGACCCTCCCGCTGAGCCTGCGGAGGAAGCATGGCCGGGCCAATACGATTTCAAACCTCTCCAGAACTGCCAGAGAATACATTCTGGCTGTATGAAGCCACCCAGTTTGTGGCTTAAGTTGTGACTTTATTAAGGCAGCCATGGAGAACTGGCACAGGACAATGATGTTGACAATGATGTGGAGAGCCTGGCGGTGGTTGTTCCGTGCTTGTTGGACACTTGGCATTTCTGGCCACCACCATGTATCAGAGAATGGACTCTCTGATCAATGATAGAAAATGAATAAGGGCCTGGTTCCGTCGTCAGCTTAGCATGGAGACGGGAGGCAGGAATACAAGCAGCAGCTTCCGAGGCAGCACTAGGCCGGGCCAGGGTTGTTGGAGGTGTAGACTCCAGCCACACCCAAGCTTGGCCTGTGAGTACAGCCCCTGGTGCTCCCTGATGAATATGGCCCTGGGTGAGAAAACCTTGGGCCCCTCTCACTCAAATTCCAACTTGATTCTGGACCATCAGGGTAACAGTTATGATTATTTTTCTCATCAGGGTTACAGGAAACCTTCTGATTACGGCAAACATCTTGTACATCAGAGACTGTTCACCGTCACTCCTGGACTTACTATTAATCATTCTCTCTTAAATCTGTTCCCAAAGGGCCTACATGGCACAGGCCAGCTGCTGGGTCCAGGTAATACGTTTTAATCAGTGGTATTAAGCTTTTCCATTTTATGACATTTTAACTAGATACTTAGACTCGAGTAAGCAGGTGTCCAAGAGTTTGACTTTTGTGTCTGAAAATAAGTTTTGAAAATATCCATCATGTATGCGTGTTTGTGTTTCTATTGAAACCATTTGGCAACCCTGGTAAAATGTAAAAGGGAATCTCTGATCTATAAGAAAGAACAAAGCCGGAGAGAAATGCAGGAGCTTTATTAGCAACAATTAATATTCTTCGAGTTAACAACTGATAAACTCATTTAGGCAAACAATTTGGATGTAATGATCTAAAGCTCACGGATGCATGCCAGATCCAGCTAACAGAACATAAAGAAAGGCACCTCTGGAAAGAACAGCCCTCCCTTTCGCTGAAGCCTGAGCAGCACTAAGGACGCTTCTGGATTTCTGCAGCGGCAGGGGCAGGGGTCTGCACGGGCTGACCTGGTGTTTCGGGAGGGTGGCATCCCTCCTGGGTGCTGGCTCTGAAAGGCAGGCGGAAGGTGCCTGCTGGGGTGCTCCACAGCAGCACTGCCAACCAAGCCTGGGTCTCTAAAAGCCACCCTCACTATATGCCAATTGACGAGGAAATAGGTGGTGACAGGGCCTTGAAGGGTATGCGTCGGCTTCCCTTAAGAAGGTGAGACGGGAAACCAAACACTGCCTTTCAAGTGTGAGGCCGTGCCATGCTCCCTCACGGAGGAGCGGCCACTGGGTCTGACCAGGTCTGTGACGCTGTGCCATGCTCCCTCACGGAGGAGCGGCCGCTGGGTCTGACCAGGTCTGCCTCTGCCCTCACCAGCTGGCAGATGGTACTGGAAAGGCTGCTGGTTGGCCACGGCACAGTTGCTGACCTGCAGCAGATCCGCTGAGGGTGACCAGGACAGTCGGGCCCTCCACAAGCACTGGAGTTTTGTCTAAGTGAGCCCTCTTGCTTTTCGGAGATGCTACTGCTACCAGCCAGTGGGCAGACTAGGACACCTCTAGACAGGAAATTCATCTAAAAATCAGAAGACCACCTGACGTGCCCAAGTGACGACGGCCCGGGCAGCCGTGCACACAGGCGGGAGGCATTTGGGGCAGTTAGACTCACCAGTGAATAGGTTTTTCTAGCACAAATGGAATGTGGTATTCCATGTCCCTAGGGAGACAAAGGGCAGGTTTTTTAACTGGTCTTTCCAAGCTTCCGACTCTCTGGCTCACATGTTCCAGAATGAGCTAGAAGTCTATTCCTTGACCCTGGGCCGTGGGCACTTCCAGAACTCTGAAGTGGCTCAGGAGGTGATTCCCGAAAGGCCAGCCTTGCTTCAACTCCTGGTGGAGCCCGTCTGGTCTGAGGCAATGCTGGGCCTGCCGCCGAGACCTCATTCCAGAAGGCCTCCCTCGGAGCCACCTGCCTCCAACCTCAATTTTGGGCATGCTGCCTCCTGGAATTGAGGGGCTATTTCTAAGACGTATGCTTTTGGCTTTTCTTGAGTGTGCCTCATCAGCCTGCACAGGATCCCCCATCTCAAGGGAGGGAAATTCGGCGTTGTTCCCTGCCTCTAAGGGCCTGATGGGCCACCCAAACGAATTCCCTTATTTCCTCTAGACAGGAAATTCTCTAGACAGGAATTCCCTTATTTTCTCTCCCGTAGGTGTTGAGATTTTATCGTCCTAATACTAAAAAGCATGCAATGAATGAGCTTTTCTCTTAACCTTAATCTGATCCTCTCAAATTTGTGCCTTCTTGTTTTGAAGACCACAGACGAGGCTATCAGATGACTGCTGAAATAGAACTAAAGCTACAGTTTTCCTCGGATCTTGGCAAGTTTTGCTAATGGCACCTCTGGGGGCACAATTATCCTCAAATGACATCCAACCAGACTCCCCATAAACAAGGTTCGGGCTGGAGCCATCTCTAGCTTCAAATATGGAAATATAAGGCAAAGGACAGAGTACCTCTTTTTGCCTTAGATTTCCCAGTAGAGTGGGATTTGGGAGAAAGTGCTGGTTCTCTCTGTTGGGGAAATGCCAGGTGCAGCAGAGATGGGGCCACTGGGGAGGCTGGTGGGGTCCAGGCTCACTTGCGTGGCTGCTGGATGTGCTGGGTTCTCGGGGAAGGATGCTTGTCCATGGAGGCATGCGGCTTCTGGTGAGCCACCTGTGCAGCCGCCGGGGGGAAGTCTTTGTCACCCTGTCAGGATACACGGAAAGCACGGGCTGATCAACAGGAAGCACAGGATTCACGCATGAGGAGGGCCTGGGCCAGCGTCCCCGAAGGAAGCACAGGGTTCATGCATGAGGAAAGCCCTGGCCAGCGTCCCCGCAGGAAGCATGGGGTTCGTGGGTGAAGAACTCCAGGCCAGGGCCCACCAGCATCCCTGCAGGGAACATGGGTTTTGTGCATGAGGAAGCCCCAGGCCAGTGCCCACCAGTGTCCTTGCAGAGAGCAGGGGTTTTGTGCATGAGGAAGCCCCAGGCCAGTGCCCACCAGTGTCCTTGCAGGGAGCAGGGGTTTTGTGCATGAGGAAGCCCCAGGCCAGTGCCCACCAGTGTCCTTGCAGGGAGCAGGGGTTTTGTGCATGAGGAAGCCCCAGGCCAGTGCCCACCAGTGTCCTTGCAGAGAGCAGGGGTTTTGTGCATGAGGAAGCCCCAGGCCAGTGCCCACCAGTGTCCTTGCAGGGAGCAGGGGTTTTGTGCATGAGGAAGCCCCAGGCCAGTGCCCACCAGTGTCCTTGCAGGATGGGTGGGGGCTGTGAATGGGTAAAGGTAGAAGCCTGTCTCCTGTGGGTGGTGGGGGTCCTGGACCATCAGAACCAGGGAATGGCAGTTGGCACTGAGTCCCACACACCAGCAGGGTGGCAAGAACACTCACTGGCTCTGCCCCATGCCATGAGACACAGAAACACATGCCTCTCTCAGAACTGACTTGTGTTCTGGGGGCTTTCTTTTGCTAGATCTGTACTTGAGACTATTTAAATTGGGGGAAGGACAGAATGAAATCCAGGATCTTAAATTCGGATGTGCTGCCGCAGCTGTGACCCAGGCCTGGGGCACTGGCTGGAAAGGAAACTCACAGGGCGGCCGTGAGACACAGCCAGTTTCTGCCTGCTCAATCTTAGGAGGGACCCGCTATTTTCCAGAGGGACCAATGGGCTTCTGTGCCAACGTGGGTGTGACCAGGATGAGCCCCACATGGGCAGGCTGGAGCCACACTTCTCTGGCTGGCAGGTTGGCTGGCTATGGTCACAGCTCCACCAGCAGTGGGCTGTCCCCAACACTGGCACTTTCTTCAGGCATCCTCTATAAGTTCATCATCTCAGTGAATATCCTGAGAGCAGTGGCCCTGTGGGCGGCAATACTGTGGGGCTCACTGACGGGAGGTCTGCACTCAAGTCACATCGTTGTGTCTCACCAGAGGGCAGCTCTGGAAAGGTAAAGGATGTGACCCGAGCCGTGAGTCCGGCCTGGGGTCTGCAAGAGCACCCTGCAGGGAAATATCGCAATGAAGAGAGCCATGGCCACAGATGAGAGGAGCAGTGCTGCTGGGTTACTCTAGGTAGAATTTAACAAAAGCAGAAGGAACCCAGAGACCCCATGCTCCCGTGTAGAGGCCTCAAGCCCACCCCAGACACTCCCAGACTTACCCGGGCAATGACCCCAGAGATGAACACAGTTGGTTTAGGGGGACTGGAAAACAAGAAGGGAAAAGGCAGATTTCACAAAACAGCCCACAAAAGGAGACACTGTGGAAGACAATGTCCACGTGGATGAGCCAGGCTGGTGGCATGGAGGTGGGGTGGGGAGTGAACCTCTTCCTCTGTGTTATTTGTTGCAGTGACCACACTACTGGGCTCGGGAGCTTCCTTCTCCTGAGGCTAGTTCAGCCCCAAGTACGAGAGAGAAAGAGACTACGGTCAACCGCAAGTGAATTGCCTACAAGCACTTTCTGTGTGTGTGTGTGTGTGTGTGTGTGTGTGTGTTAAAAGACAGGGTCTCTGTCACTGCCTGGAGTGCAGTGGCACGATCTTATCTCACAGCAGCCTCTACCTCCTGGACTCAAGTGATCCTCCTGCCTCAGTCTCCCAAGTAGCTGAGACAACAGGCATGCATCACCATATCTGGTTAATTTTTTAATTTTTGTAGAGACAGGGTCTTGCTGTGCTGCTCAGGCTAGTCTCAAACTCTTGGCTCAAGCCATCCTTCCACCTTGGCCTCCCAAAGTGCTAGGATTACAGGCATGAGCCACCGTGCCTAGCCTATTTTTGTTTTTTGGTTAAACGAACACATTTTAACTATGGGCAAGCCTGACTGTTTTGACTTAATGAGATTGTGAAACAGGCGCTTCCCTGAAGCAGGGCAGAAGTAGCTTTGCATGGTATGGACTTGGAGATGCTCTCACTGCCTCCTCAACCGTGGGCTTCCCCTTCTGGCATCCTCACAGGGGAGATTCCAGAGCCAACACAAACCTCCTGGCCCCATCAATCCCTGAGCATTACAAATACAAGGTCCCTGGGAAACCTGTCATCTCTTGACATGTTAACTCACAATGAGCTCATCCAAACTGAAGTACTGAGGAAATGCATATAGTATCAAAGCAATACAGCTCAGTGCGGAAAAAACAGGCTCAAATCGCTGGCAGGTCTACCACCTGCAAATACGAGTTGCTAACATGGGGCTTTCCCTCCAGGCTTTCCTTCTATATGCATAGATGTTTGTGCTTGTCTTCTTATTAATTTTTTTCTTACAAAAATGGTCATCTGCCTTCTGAACTAAGAGTACAGTAAGCATCTCTCCATGTTCTTATATACTCTTCTGTCCATTTATTTTTGATAGCTACATGTGCCATAATTTAAAAACATCAGGACACAGTTTGAGGTGGTGGACAAGGTGTGTTTACTTCCAAAACGCCTCCACCAAGAGGTACGGACACCCAAGAGCAGGAGGTGAATACAAGGTCAGCCCAGCGGGGACATGGAGGTGGGTGGAGAGGAAGCATCTCCCTCTTGGCTCAGTTTTGCTCCAGCCAGGCCTGCTGGGCAGACAGGGTAGAATTTATCCCCTGGGCTCCCCAGCCTGCCTCTTTGCAGCTTGGCTTCTCTGCTGCTGGTGGTCTTTTTAAGAAATCTACTTGTCTTACTTAGCTTTGTTTTGCTGCAGGCAAAAGTCCTAGCATTCAGGAAGTTTGCTGACTATTTACTTCCCCAAAGAATTTACCAAAAACACCTGAAATTCCCCCAGGTAATTTCTGTCACTTCATGAGATTAAGAAACTTCGAGTTTTACTAAGCAGCACAGAGATGCACCACATGTTACCTGGGTTTTAGTTAGTGTTTGTTGTGTGGTTAGTCAGGTTGGATTTTTTCCCCCTTCCTTTACGTATGTGATTTAGCTATAGGATTAACAGCTGGCCAAAGATGAGTAAATTCAACTCAAGTTTAAGCCCCTGCCCCATGTGGTTTAACTGAATTCATTTGGATTCTTTTTTTTTTTTTTTTTTTTTTTGAGACGAAGTTTTGCTCTTGTTACCCAGGCTGGAGTGCAATGGCGCGATCTCGGCTCACCGCAACCTCCGCCTCCTGGGTTCAGGCAATTCTCCTGCCTCAGCCTCCTGAGTAGCTGGGATTACAGGCACGCGCCACCATGCCCAGCTAACTTTTCGTATTTTTAGTAGAGACGGGGTTTCACCTTGTTGACCAGGATGGTCTTGATCTCTTGACCTCGTGATCCACCCGCCTCGGCCTCCCAAAGTACTGGGATTACAGGCTTGAGCCACCGCGCCCGGCCTCATTTGGATTCTTAAAGCGCATCCTGTTGTGATGCCTGATACCACCCACGGAAGAACCTCCAGGGATTCGGGGCCAAGGGGTTTGCCTCCAAAGCTCAGGGAGTGTGGTCTGAATTCTAACATTTTGTAAAAGATTTGGAAAGGAATACAGAAATGGTAGCATGAAGTTTCTTAAAGTCCTTTGGAATGTTCTTTTAAACATCTAGGAACAGCCTGAGGTAGGGATGGCCCCACTCTGGTAACAAATCATATAGTATCATCCTCCAACAAAGCAGTCGTCTTTCTGTATCAGGAGAACACAGTGGTTTCCATCGTAACCTATGTCGAGGCTCTGAAAGGCAAACTACAGGAGATCCCCCTACTCCAGAAGCCTGATAAGAATGTCACCCACAAAGAGTCAATCTAGTAAGAATAGATGCATAATGAAGAGAATTAGCTACCCCACAGAAGTGAGCCCTGAAAGGTGGCTGAGGAAGCTTGATTAATTATATGCATATATAGACAAATATCCTCCCCTCTACACACACACACAGCCACACACACACACACACCCCTTGTTTTATGGCATTTGCTCTATTGCATTTCACAGGTAATGTGTTTTTTTTAGGAATTGAAGGCTTGTGGCAACTGTGTGCCCATCTTCATTATTATTATATCTGTTATGGTGATGCGTGGTCACTGATCTTTGATGCTGCTACTGTAATTGTTTTGGGGCACCATGAGGCGTGTCCATATAAGATGGTAAACTTAATCAATAGTTGTTCTATGTGTTCTGACAGTTCTACTGACCAGCCATTCCCTGTCTCTCTCCTTCTCTTCAGGGCTCCCTATTCCCTGAAGTACAGCAATATTGAAATTGGGGCAATCAGCAACTCTACAATGGCTTATAAGTGTTTACATGAAAGGAAGAGACGCATGTCTCTCACTTTCAATCAAAAGCTAGAAATGACTAAGTTTGATGAGGAAGACATGTCGGAAGCTCAGACAGGCTGGCCTCTTGCACCAAATAGCCAGTTTTTGGAAGAAATTAAAAATGCTACTCCAGTGAGTACTGGAGTGAGTGACAAGGAAGTAAAAGAGCATTATGGTTGATATGCAGAAACTGAGCGGTCTGATAGAAGATCAAACAAGCCACAACATTCCCTTAAGCCAAAGTCTAATCAAGAGCAAGGACCTAACTCTCTTTAGTACTATGAAGGCTAAGAGAGGTGAGGAGGCTGCAGAAGAAAAGCTGGAAACTAGCAGAGTTTGGTTCATGAGGTTTAAGGAAAGAGGCCATCTCCAGAACATAGAAGTGCAAGGTGAAGCAGCAACTGCTGATGGAGAAGCTACAGCAAGTTCTCCAGAAGATCTAGCTAAGATCAAGATCTAGGTTAGTGGCTATACGAAGCAACAGATTTTTAATGTTGACAAAACAGCCTTTTACTGGAAAAAAATGTCATCTAGGATTTTCACAGTTAGAGAGGAGAAGTCAATGACTGGTTTCAAAGCTTCCAAGGACAGGCTGACTTTTATTAGGGACTAATGCAGCTGATGACTTTAATTTGAAGCCAATGCGCATTTACCATTCCAAACATCCTAGGGCCCTCAGGAATTATGTAATATCTACTCCGTCTGTGCTCTATAAATGAAATGACAGAGCCTGGATGACTGTACATTAATTTACAGCAAGGTTTACTGATTATTTTAAGCCCACTGTTGAGACCTACTGCTCAGAAAAAGAATATTGCTTTCAAAATATTACTGCTGATTTATAAGGCTCCTGGTCACCCAACACCAAGTATACAAGGAGATTAACGTTGTTTTCATATCTGTTAAGACAACACTCATTCTGCAACTCATGGAGCAAGGAGTAATTTAGACTTTCCAGTCTTACTATTTATGAAATAAGTAATTCCACTGGGTGGATTTGGGCGAAAAACTTCTGGAAAGAATTCACCATTACAGATACCACTAAGGACATTCCTGATTCATGGGAGGAGGTCAACGTATCAATATTAACAGGAGTTTGGAAGAAGCTGATTCCAACCCTCATAGGTGATTTTGAAGGGGTTCAAGACTTCACTGGAGGAAGTAACTGCAGATGTGAAAGTAGCAAGAGAACTAGGATTAGAAGTGGAGCCTGAAGGCAGAACTGAATGGCTGCGATCTTGTGATCAGCTTCCTTAGGGATGAGGAGTTGATTCTCAAGGATGAGCAAAGAAAGTAGTTTCTTGAGCTGGAATCTACACCTGGTGAAGAATAACAACAAAGGATATAGAATATTACATAAACTTAGTTGATAAAGCAGTGGCAGGGTTTGAGATGACTGACTCCATTTTTGAAAGAAAATGAGTTTACCTCCATGGGTAAACTCTATCAAGAAGCATCATATACTGCAGAGAAATCGGTCCTGAAAGGAAGAGTTGATCTATGTGGCAAACTTCATTGTTGTTGTTGTTTTTTTTTTTGAGAGAGAGAGGCTCTCACTCTGTTGCCCAAGCTGGAGTGCAGTGGTATGATCTCTGCTCACTGCAAACTCCGCCTCTCAGGTTCAAGCAGTTCTCATGCCTTAGCCTCCAGAGTAGCTGGGATTATAAACACACACCATCACGCCTGGCTAATTTTTGTATTTTTAGTAGAGATGGGGTTTCACCATGTTTGCCAGGCTGGTCTTGACCTCCTGGCCTCAAGTGATCCACCTGCCTCGACCTCCCGAAGTGCTGGGATTGCAGGCATGAACCACCACACCCGGTCTGTTGTCTTATTTTAAGAAACTGCTACAGCCATTCCCATCTTCAGCAACCACCACCCCAATCAGCCAGTACCCATTAACACTGAGGCAAGACCATCCACCAGTAAAAAGATTAGAATTCACTGAAGGCTCAGATGATCATTTATATTTTTTAACAATACAAAAATTT